TTGTATACACTTCAGTACTCTATCCCGTTCGTAAGTGACTTCGGCCGTGTCCGAAACGGGCTTCCAGAGATACGGCTAGGTCTATTGTCTAAGCATCTCTATGCATTTCCAATGGAGCGAAGACCTAGACCTAGCTCTAGACAAAAGATTCGGATGCAGCCGAATTCGTCACAAATTTGCAGGCCCCCATTGGACAATCGCTGAAGTTGCGCGTTAACTTCCGGTTCCATGGTTCTGTGTAAACGGCCATCAATTTATGTACCCATGTGTTCTGCATGTGCAGCGGGCGTGGTTTAAACTGAAGTGACATCACACTTACGAACTGGATAGGCGCAGGCATACCAGCTGTGCGTGCCTGTCGCGGTGTCGCGGCGCCTGTTGCGTTAACATGGCGTATTCACACCCAACTGGCGCTCATACGATAAACGTTTTACGCGTATATCACGGTGAACAATCTTTGGTGATAGGTTGTGTACAACGAAGCCAATCACAGTGCAAAGCCATTAGACTTTCCAGTGCCTTGTTCGGGCGCTCGGCGACATGCGAACTTGAAGGTAACAGAGGGCAGATGTCATGGTACATAAATACTTGCGTCACGTATGTTTCAGAGGAAAATTATTAACTGCGCATGTCCCACATTTAGGATCATTTGCATACATAATGAGGGCCATGGGAATTCGTGCCAGGCGAGCAGCTGCTTCATTTCATGAACCTTACGTCTTATTTTAACATTTTAGGGAAAAAATACCTGCCGAAAAACATTTTCACGGTGTTAGAGATAAGGCCTTTTCCTAACCTGTTTTGTGAAACTAAAAATAAGAAATAGCACTGGAGTGGTAGAAACTAGTGACTTTGTGAAAATCTCTTTTCGTAAGCGCTAGTCGTTCCCAACCCACGCCCGGCAGCATTCTACTTGCTACCAAAAATTCACAAATCAGGAAATCCAGGCCGCCCCATTGTGTCTGCTTGTAATTGACCCCCTAAATTGATGTGCAACTTCCTTGACACACCCACTGTCAAAACGCCCCCTAGCTATGTCAAGGATACTAACCACGCTCTACGTCTGTTCGATGAAATTGAGTTCCCAGGTTCATTTTAGTTTTCATAGACGCAGTCGAAGTTTTAGTCGATGTATACAACTGGGAGAGAAATCTTCCAGGGTTTGAACTGTTTCAATTCAGGACAACTTCCAGAGGGCGCAATAACCAGTCAAAAATTTTCAAGACTAGAACGTGACCGGGAGTTGATGCGCGCTTGCGACGTCTAGGCGCGTGTCGAGTCACGCTGACGCCAAATTCATGTACTAGCCTATTATTAGTGAACCACACGTGACCGTATTTCAGCCAATCAGGATAAAGAACCAGGAAGTGTTGTGTTTAGATTGGGTGCGTTCGATTAGCTTCCCTGAACAGACCAGTTTTACACTCAAGGAAAGCCTCAAAATAAGGCTTATCGAGCGCTGCAGTGTGTTGTCCAAGGCATTCGGGGAAAAAGGTCAAGTCCCCGCCTCGTTCCATCATGTACGTCCATGCTCGAACAGTCCATCCGTGACGTCATTACACTCTGGCAGCCTCAAGAGACCCGCTCGCCAGCTGGGGTAGTGGTGGCTGACATCAGGGCAGGCACGAACATCACGTGATGGCTAAACGAACGCTCTCGTGTAAGTTTGACTTACACGTGTAAGTTAATCGAACGCACCCATTATTGCGTATTATCTGACCGCGCTGCCGGATAGGTTTCTGCGCCACAGAAAATGGATATGCTAACTTGGCTTCTCTCCTACTACTGGCTACATCTGCCTCGACACAATTTAACACAAGTAGCCATTTGGGCTCAAGTGGCATTCCGTGTAGCATTACACATGTTGTACGGTCCAGCCGTTCACTTGTGGGTGCATTGTAGTAGATTTGGGCTGGGCCCACGGTGCCGTGGTGCTTAGTGCATGCGTGCCGTATATCGCTATAGTGACACTGACTATGCAACGCGATGTTGTTTAGGCCTCATATGCAGCAAGGTATGAGACGGAGAGAACCACCTGCTTTGTGTTGGTCATTGTCTCGCAGGAATCTGGGGAATTCCTTTCAGACATCTTGGGGGACGAGTTTAGGCTAGAGTCGACACCCCAACCGGTTTCAGACTTGATCTTCAAACTTAGGTTAGGCCCGGGGAAACAACCACACCGCCACAATTTGTTGAATTCTTTTGACTTTTTCAATAAAAAGGAATTAATAAATGGGAATACATATGTGCTTCAGGGGAACAAACGCTGATGGTTGCGTCCATTCTCCTGTGCCGTTCTTAAGGCACCTTTCCATAAACGCGTCAACATTTGCGTCAAATGTTGCGTATCCGTTACGTGTCTTATGTTAAGCCTGGTTTCCTTATGGTCATCTGTAACGCAGACGGTCTGCAAGACGTCAAGACGCAAACAGTCGCGGGAGAGACGCAGCGCGACGTCAGTCCACCCAAAAAATTAAACAAAATGGCGCCCTAAACTCGGCGAATTTTCGCCCAAAATGCCTTTTTTAGGTGGCAATGTTGCCTCTTGAAGCCAAACTGATACCCCAGTTTGATGTAAATTTTATATAACGGGTTTTGCCCTCACCCAACGTATATATTAATTAACACTGTAATGCTTTTTTTAAAAATCGATTTTTTTCAATGTAATGACTTTTTTTTAAAACAGATCGTACTTTGATTTTTTGAAATCATTTTGCAAAACCGAATGAAATCTTTCGTAACTAACATATCTTTTTGGGTGAAATTTTAGAGACCTAACATGTTTTTAAGATTTGGATGAATTTTTTTTTGACCAAAAACATTTTTAAGGTTCGAATAAAATTTTGTAGACCTGAAATGTTTTTAAGATGCGAATAAAGTTTTTGGACCTATTATGTTTTTAAAATGCCTAAAATCCGGACATCTCATTTTTGACCGCTGCCAAACCCGTGTGGCAATTTGAATCCGCATGAAAAACGAAATGCATTTCAGACAAATATCCTGGTCTTGAAAAAAATTAACTGATACATACAAAACAATTATCAGTCTTA